CTACCCACTCTCACAGGGTGACCATGAGCATCCTGCCCTCCTCTGGCTTTAGACCTAAAGGTCTGGGAATGTGCTGAACTCCTGAGGTGTCTAACGCCTGTGCCTCTGACTAAAAGCACATTTTAAAAAAATCATTTTGCCTTTTTAGAGCAAACCTCAAGTGTGATTCAACAAACCTAAAATCCCAGGTCTGAAATCTGGCCTTAGGGGAAGCTGAGCTGTGCTGTCAGCCCCAGGAGCACCAAGATCACTGTGCCCACCAGCCCAGCACTGCACTGGACACAGAGTAACCCTCACCAAAGAGGTGTCTGGGGAAGATATCCCTTTGGTCTCCCACTTTCCCCACCAGCAGCCTAAACCCCTGCGAGCAGCGGGGACAAGAGCAGAGCTGTGCCAAATAAAGCACCTTCCCAGTGGGAGCGGCGTGGGCTGCCCCAGCCCCAGCTCTCAGCTGTCACACTCAGGCCACGCTGATAAAGCCCTGCTCTGCCTGCCCTTATTTAGTCAGGAGCCTGTGCTGACTGCAGCGATTTTGGGACGTCATTTGCACCACGATCCCCAAGGAGACGCTTGCTCTGCCCGGCCACGCAGCCTGCAAATGCTGAGAGCAGGGAGACAGCCCTGCTGGGAGTGCAGCCAGCCACAAGAGCCTTGGAAAGTGATACAGGAGCTGCCAAGGGCTCTTGCTGTTTGAAGGGAGAGCTAAGATGTGCCCCAAAGTCTGGGTATGGATAGAAAACTAACTTAGGCTTCCAAACCAGGCAACAGCTCACACTGAGCAATGCCCATGAGTTGGCAGGGAAGCCACATCAATGTAATGTGCTTCCACAGAGCCCAGGCTCATCCTAATGAGCAAACCCCACTGAATCAGGAATTGATGCCCCACACTTCAGAACAGAATATAGAAATTCCTGCAGGTACCTGTGTAATGCCTGACACTGGAGCTCTGTTGTGCTTCCACAGAGCCCAGGCTCACCCTAACAAGCAAACCCCACTGAATCAGGAATTGATGCCCCACACTTCAGAACAGAATACAGAAATACCTACAGATATCTGCTCATAGTACATTAAAACAAAAATAAATCCAAAATGTATTCACTTGTAGTTGTACTCTCCAGGGGCTACAGGGCCAGCACATGAGTGCAAACTGGTGAAGCACAGCAGCCATTATAGCCTCGAATATCTTGCTTTCCTACTGATCCCATGACATCCAGCAGATGTATCTCAGGTGTTCCTGCCAGGACAGGCACCCTTCAAAGGATCCCAGAGCTTGGCCAGACCCGTGCCTTGCAGGACACATGGCCAAGTCCCTCCATTGATTTTGGTCCAAGTCACTGGGAAGCACAAGCATGTGCAGAAGCACACCACGTCAGATACTGCTGCAATGGGACAGAGTATTTACACTCATTTTGTCCTTAAAAAGCACCAGAGAGAAGGAAAACCCCTGTAAAAGCTGCCCAGCTACTGAGCACACAGCTTTCAAAAATCAAAGGTTCCCCCTGCAGACAATTCTGCCCTTCCTCTTACTTTATTTTATTGAATTTTATTTTAATCTGTTCTGAAGAGATGAAACCCAACCATTTTTATGCTTCTTCTCCCTGTATTCTGTGGGACCATCCTCCCCACCTGACAGGCAAACACACATTGCTCCCCAGGCACAAGGAGCATCAAGTACTTGGGGTACAGAGAACTCTATTCTGTACCAGCCCATGTGCCCAGAAAGCTGCAGGGCAGCTGTTTCACACCTCAGCATGGCTCTGAACCAGCTCACTCATGGCCTAGTGGCAGCTGTCCCTTCCTCACAGTCCTGCAGCCAGTTTGTCTACTTCATCTCACAGGAGGTGAAGCCCCAGCTGTGATCCCAGGCTCTCCTCATGCTTCCCATCCACCCCAAATAATTTTCAAAGGAGTCCCAGTCAGGACAGAGTGGAGGAAGGGGAAGGGTGTGACACAGCAGGTGCCTTCACCTGGCACAGCAGGAACAGCCAGGTCCCAGCTCTGACAGGAATCCCTTGGGATCACAGCAGGACAAATCCTGCAGCACCAGCAGTGCAGGGCAGGGCAATGAACCTCATGGTGTGTGTTAGGTGTGTTAACCCCACATCCATCCCTGGCCACCCCTGGGCAGGAGAAAAGCCTTGTGCCAGCTGCCACAGAGGTTGCATTCCAAGATGCCTTTTCTCCTGAGTGAGGATTCACACTCCAGCTTCCATCACCTCCATCCCTCCAGCTGATCCCCAGAGCTGCTGAGGGACATGCCCAGGGTTTATACCCAACATCTGAGCAGCACCAATGGGCTTTGCATGGGGTGAAGCTGGCTGACCTGGATGGGCTGCTCAGGACAGCATGGCCCCATGACAAATGATTTCCACTGAAGTAATGAAAAACAGAGCTGTTCTCTCAGCTGACAGTGAGATGATGTCCTCAGCTTCTTGAACAACTGGGAAAGCAGCTGGATTGCCAACCCAGGAGGATTCAGGAAGGAGCTGAGGAGGCCAGGGCAGCGCTGAGGGGGCAGCAGGACAGGCAGTAGCTGGCACTGCCCACGGCCCTGGCTGGAACACCAAAGTGAAACAGCACTGGGACAGGAGCTGTGAAGCAGCCTGGTGCCTCAGACACCCCCAGAACACAGCATGGGAGCTTTGGTGACTGCACTGACCATGGTCCCTGGCTGTCACTGCTCTCCTGCCCCAGGCCCAGGCAGGGCACCCCTCAGTGCTGCTGCCAGCCCCAGCCCTGCACCTCAGGGCTCAGCACATGCCTGGGATTCCTGCAGTGCAACTGGCCCGGGCAGCTTCCAGTGCTTGTTTTCCTCGGAATTTCTATCCCTAAAGAGCCTTTTATGGTGCAAAAGGGAGAAATCTGGCCTTCCCCTGGCATGTCACCCCCAGACAGCAGGAGGCTGGATGCTACAGCAGTTTAGTTCTGCAAGGGGCTCCCCCCAAGTGCCACAAGCAAATGAAACTCAAACATCCACGTACAACAGCACAGGTGTGCAGAGGTAGCTGGGAATTCACACAGCCCACCTGCCGTGTCCTGATAATTAGTGCCTAGTAATGACCTTACAGAAATGTCATATCTTCCCCAGGAAAAGATGGGTGTAGCCTCAAAGGCATTTTTTTGGGTAAGGGACACATTGCCACCTGAGGAGAAACATGAATGCTCCATCTAAAAAGCTCCACCTTACAGTTATGAGCTCAGGCAATGCTAATGATAGTGCAGGCCTTCTATAAACTGTAATAATCCATTTTCACAATCTGTCTGCAATTACTCTGCCCTGGGTGTGGAAATTGAGGCAAGGTTCAAGGCCAAAGCAAAAGTTGTGGCAGAGCTAAGAATTTTCTCCAGGAAAAATTATGTAGATTTACTCTCTACCCCAAATCTGAGGTGAAAAGAGGAGGGAGGAGAGCATGAGTCAGATTTACAGAAGGCATCAGGTAAAGAGAGTAGCTCTGCCCTGAGCAAGATACACCAGGAATAAACACTGATGGCAGTGCTGAGTTAAAGTTTACAGGACAGGCAGCCTGAATTCCCCTCTCCCAGCAGGTCCAGCTCAGCTGGAAGCTGTGCTGCAGGAACAGGACAGCAGGAACCAGGGGTTCCACACTGCCAGCCAGCACAACAATCCCTTCTTTCCTGCCCAGCAGCCACACCACTGCAGGGGCTGTTGCCTGAGGGCTCCCTGGAGGAAACCAGCTTCCTTCCATGTCTTATTTCCTCCAGCTCCAAGGTTTCCTTAATAGGAAATTATTCCCTGGCTGCACTGGGGAGGGATGCAGTCCCTGGCCAGGGCAGCGGGCGCATTCCAACCCCTGACTGAAAACACTGCAGAGCCTCTTTTGATCCAAAGTGTAAATAGTGTATAATAAAAAGAGGTTTGTGTAAACCAGCCAAGCTCTTGGGGAGCAGTGTTTGCAGCTCCAGCCTCCTTATTCACACCACAGGCACACGCTCTTCCCGGGCACAGCAAAGCTGGTGTTGGGCTGAGCCTGCCCTGCCAGAAGGATCCAGAGCCCCACGCCACCCCAGCCTGTTATTTTTATCCTAGCTGGCCCTGCATGGAGCTTCTCTTGCAATCCTGCTGAGTTTTCTCCACCAATCCCTGAGGCAACTGGGTTTTGATTAAAAAAAAATCAATTGTGCTCCCCACTAAAGTTTGAAGAAGTAATGTCTGCCAGGAGAGTAAAGTGCAAGGAGTGTCTGCAAGGAGTGGAATGGAGTTTGGGAATAGGTGTCCTCCTTCCTCTGGTTGATAATGAAGTAACTGATAATTAAACAGGAATTAAAAGGAGTGAGACAGGACAGCCATGGAGTCACAGCCACTGCCCAGAAGCTGAGCAAAGCCTGTGCAGGGTGAGGTTTTCTTGGTGAGGTCAGGTGAAACCTCAAGCACTGTTAAAACCACATTTCCCCAAGGAAGAGGAAAGGAGCGAAGGCTCCCAGATCTCTGTTCTCTGCCAGGTCAGCTCTGAGACTGGCAGGAATGCTGCAGGGGGAATGTGCTGCCAACACAGCTCGGACACAGGCAGGGATGTGAGCTGGAGGAGGAGAATTTCCTCTGCCCTTTTCAAGCAGACCCTGAAGCCACTCTTATTTCCTCTCTCCTCCATCCCAGGAGGGACAGTGGAGCAATTACACTCAGCTGCTAAAATTGACAACGCTCGTGCATCCCACAAACTTCCCCCAGAGCCACACTGGGGGCTCCAGGGCCAAACTGTGTTCTGGGGCACATCTGGCTGCTCATGAGCCTGTTGGATTTATCACCACCAAACCCTCTGTTTCTCAGACTGCCCCATCAATGCCCAACATCAAAGAGCAGCCTGGATGCTCCCCACCGTGCTGAGTGCCAGGGCTGGTAACAACTCCTGCTGTCCAGCACCTCCCCTCTGGACCAGGGCTGCGGGGGAACAGGAGAGGGGATGAGAAAAAGGACAGCTCCCCAACACGTGGGATGGGACCATCCCCACGGGACCCTGCGTGCCGGAGCTCCAAGCACCCACCTGGATGCCGCAATCTCCGACTTCTGCCGGGCAATGGCCGCTGCCCTCTGAGCCCCCTCCACGCTCCTGTCCACTTTCTGCCGGATCTTGGCGCTCTTGAGGGGTATCACCCGCTTCTTCATGCCCTTGACCAGGACGTTGTGGCGGTACTTGCCCTCCTCCTTCTTGCCGTCGGGCAGCGTGGTGCAGCCGTAGCCGTGCCGCAGGTTGTCCAGCCATTCGCCCTCGTACTTGAGCCCGCTGGAGCGCTCGCTGACGCCGAAGCCGGCGCGTTTGTCGTTCTTCCACTCGCCCATGTAGGTCTCGGTGGTGGTGGCGTCGATGTCGGACTCGAACGGGGTGTACTCCTCGCCCTCGGCGCCCTCGCCCAGGCTGACGGTGGAGGTGGCATCGCTAGCGGCCGAGCTGATGCCGCTCTCGCTCTTGAGGAAGCTGACGCGGCTCTTCTGGCTGGCCAGGGACGACTTGGACTCGGACTTCTTCAGCTTGCCCAGCAAGGAGCCCCTGCGGAAGAGCCCGCCCTTCTTGGCCTTGGCGGCCTCGGCGTCCGCGTAGAGGCTGAGGGCGAAGCCGCCGCGGGTGATGGTGGGCGAGAGGGGCAGGCTCTCGGCGTTGGCGGCGGGCGAGTCCTGCTGCGGCAGGGTGCCGTTGCTGTGCTCGCTGCGCAGGGAGGACAGCGAGGTGCGCAGAGGGGAGCGCACCACCGAGGCCATGCCGTAGGGCACGCTCTGGCGCACGCCGTAGCCGTGCCGCATGCCGTTGGTGAACTGGCCCTGGTACGTGCCTGAGGGAGACAAGACAGCGTGAGAAAGCGCCTCGGGCCTGGCACAGCCAAGGGAGATGAGATGTGGGGCTGTGCTGAGCCCAGGCATGCAAAGCATCAGTGCCCAGGGAGCAGGGGACAGCAGCACAAGAGGCTCTGCTGGTGGGTGACAGCTCATTGCAAAGGGACTGAGGCACCGGGGGACACTTTGCAGACCCACTTACTGTACGGGATCTGGATTTTCATCCGGAGAAGGCAGAGGGAGGCAGCCCCCAGGGGTGGTTTGGGCTGTGCAGAGGGTGGCCCCAGCGGGCATGTGAGCTGCAGTGACACATCTGCCCTTGGCTTGGTGGCAGTCCCTTTCAGCTTGTCCCTTGCAGGCTGCCAGGACCACCCCTAGACCCCCGAGTCAGTATCCCACATGTCCATGGACTGCCCTGCTGCCTGAAACCACATCTCCTTGGTGCTGACTTATGGCTTCTCTGAGTTCCCTTGATCAAGGTTTGTGCCACACTGCACAAAGCAAGAGATGGGCAAAAAAGGGAGGAGAGGAGCAGCTCTGTGTGGGGTTCCTTCAGCCCTGCCCCAACCCCACTCCTCCAGACCCAGCTCGAGAGGGCAGATGGTGTCATATGGTGGGAACACAGAAAAGTTTGTGTTCACCATGGCCAGGGCTGCACCTTGGGTACAGGATCCTGCTGGGAACCAGCAGGACTTTGGCAGTGACACCTTGAAGGACTGGGACACTGCTCCTTTCCAGATGCCCTGATCCCAAAGGTGAGCACATTTGCAGGCTTCCAGCAGAGTGGAGACCCCACTCTGATTTTTCTCACTAGGATGTCAAGAGACTTAAATGAGGTGCATCAGAGGTCCCACAAAAAGAGCTCCTGGGAAGGGCAGGGGCTGGTGGGACAGCAGACAACCTTCACCCACAGCACCCACCATGCACAGGGAAGGTCACAGCATCCCTGAGCCCAGTGGGATGGGATGGGATGGGATGGGATGGGATGGGATGGGATGGGATGGGATGGGATGGGATGGGATGGGATGGG